ATCTAATCCAAGAGGTGTATGTCCCTGAACTGCTCAGTAATAGATACCATAATATAATTAAATTTAATATCCTTGTGAAGGGGAAAATGCCAAAGAAGCCCACCCTAGTAACATTTAAGTTCAAAAAGAACTACACAAAAATGAGGAAATTAGTTACATAGAAATTAAAAGAACAATCACAGGAGTGAAAGGCTGCAAGCTGCATGGAAACTTAAAAAAAAAAATTATTATAGAGCCTCAAATTATATTATATATAAATATAATTATATATAAACAGATAACTAGAAAAATGCCATCATGGCTAAACAACAAAGCAAGAGAGGCTGTTAGAAGCAAAAAAGCCTCCTTTAAAAACTGGAGGTCAAATCCTATGGAGGAAAATAGAAAAGAGCATAAACTCTGGCTAGTCAAATGTAAAAGTATTATTAGGCAGGCCAAAAAAGAATTGGAAGAGCAATTAGCAAAAAACTAATCGCAAAAACAATTTTAAGTACATCAAAAGCAGACAGCCTGTCAGTGGGGCCATGGATTCTCAAGGTGATAAAGGATCACCCAAGGAAGACAAAGCCATAGTGGAGAATCTAAATAAATTCTTTGCATTGATTTTCACTGCAGAGGATGTTAGGGAGATTCCCACACCTAAGACAGTCTTTTTAGGTGACAAATCTGAAGAACTGTCCCAGATTGAGGTGCCAATCGAGGAGGTTTTGGAACAAACAGATATATTAAACTGTAATACGCCACCCGGCTAGACGGTATTCATCCAAGAGTTCTGAGGCAACTCAAATATGCAATTGCATAACTACTAACTGTGGTATGTAACCTATCACTTAAATCGGCCTCTGTACCAGATGTTTGGAGGATAGCTTATGTGATGCCAATTTTTATAAAAGGCTCCAGAGGCAACCCTGGCAATTAGAAGCCAGTAGGCCTAACTTCAGTACCAGGCAAATTGGTTGAAACTATAGCAAAGAACAGAATTATCAGACAAATAGATGAACACAATCTGTTTGGGAAGAGACAACATGGCTTTTGTAAAGGGAGATCATGCCTCACCAATTCTTTGAGGGGGGTCAACAAACATGTGGACAAGGGTGATCCACTGTATATAGTGAAGCTGGACTTTCATAAAATCTTTGACAAGGTCTCGAAGGCTCTTAAGCGGAATAGGCAGTTATGAGATAAGAAGGAAGGTCCTCTCATGGATCAATAACTGTTTAAAAGGCAGGAAACAAAGGGTAGAAATAAATTGTCAGAGGTAAATAACCGGGTCCCCCAGGAATCTATACTGGGACAAGTGCTGTTCAACATAGTCAAAAATGATCTGGAAAAAAGGGTAAACAGTGAGGTGGCATAGTTTGCAAATGACACAAAATTACTCAAGATAGTTAAGTTCAAAGAAGACTGAATAGTTACAAAGGGATCTCAGTGACTGGGCAACACAATGGCAGATGAAATTCAATGTTGATAAATGCGAAGTAATGTATATTGGGTAACATAATCCCAACTATACATATAAAATGATGGCGTCTAAATTAGCAGTTACCATCAAGAAAGATCTTGGAGTCATTGTGGATAGTTCTCTGAAAACATCCACTCAATGTGCAGCAGCAGTCAAAAAAGCTAACAATGTTAGTAACCATTAGGAAATGGATAGATAATAAGACAGTAATGCCACTATATAAATCCATGGTACACTCATACCTTGAATACTGCATGCAGTTCTGGTCGCTCCATCTCAACAAGGGTATTTTAGAAATGGAAAAGGTACAGAGAAGGGCAAGGGATAGCTTCCATATGAGGAGAGATTAAAAATATGGGGACTGTTCAGCTTAGAAAAAGAGATGACCGGGGGTGGGGGGGCATGATAGAGATCTATAAAATCATGAATGGTGTGGAGAAAGTGAATATGGAAACATTATTTACCTCTTCACATAACACGAGAACCAAACAGAACAAAGTCACCCAATGAAATTAATAGGCAGCAAGTTTAAAACAAACACAAGGAAGTACTAATTCACACACACAATGCACAGTCAACTTTGTTGCCAGGGGATGTTGTGAAGGCCAAAACTATAGCTGGGTTCAAAAAAGAATTAGATAAGTTCATGGAGGATGGGTCCATCAATAGCTATTAGACAAGATAGTCAGGGTGTCCCTAGGCCTCTGGCTGCCTGATAGTGGGACTGGATGACAGGGGATTGATCGCTTGATGGTTGCCCTGTTCTGTTCATTCCCTTTGAGGCATCTGGTGTTGACTACTGTCAGAGGATGGGATACTGGGTTAGATGGACCATTTGTTTGACCCAATATGGCCATTCTTATGTTCTAAGGTTTATCCCCTCAGAATAAGAGTCAACGTCTCTGAAAGCCAACTGTAAAATATGAACTACATGGGGAAATGGAAGGGTGGGGTAAAGACAGAGGCCATTCTTAAGGAGATATTCAAATAAGAGATCCTTAGAACTTTAGGTAAGCATCCAAAATGGATCTCCAAACTTTTTAAGGTTCATCACTAGTCTAACCAGCCCCTCTCACCACTCCAGCCTCCTCTTCCTCCCACCCCCAAGACATTGAACCAATGCACAAAATAAATAGGCATTTGCAAAAAACAATTTATAATCCCCAAATGAAAGCAGACATACACAGAAATTCCTAACGTTATATATTGTACCTATTTCATCCATGCTCCTTAGGACCTTGAAGGACTCACTGGCCCTTCTGAACTTTTTAATTAAAGAAATAAAAGGCTATTTAAGAGAGGGGAGGAGATTGCTGGAATCCATCCAAGTCCTAGCTGGGAAGGGAAGAGCTGCTAGATTTATATTAGATGAAATCATAAATCTTCATCCACCTTTTGCAGAGCTCTAAAGCTAAAAATAACTACAGTGCCTGCGGGACTTCAACATTTGGATTAATCAAGTCTTGTAGTGCCAGAGGGAAAAAACGTTACAAGAACAAAGCGCTGGAGGATTTCAGGGGCAGAGCATTCAGGCAAGGACGCAGTATCCAGAGAACGAACTGCTGTTTGTTTCTGGTTCAAGCAGATGTTCCAGGAGAATTACAGCAGGGGAAAGGGGAGAAAAAAGAAAAAAAAAAAAAAAAAAAAAAAATCTCAGTACCAAAATAGTCTATTATAGAAGGAAAAATAGATGTTGGCCACAATGGAGGGGGGCAGTCAGCCACCCCAGCTACTGTACCAGAACCCAGTTAATGTGAGGTTTGGGGGTTAGTACAGAATGTGTTACATTACAGTCCATGATCTGGTACGGTATACTCAGTGTCCATCTGATCACAACTTCCCTCCAGCTCATTTTGGAATTCCAGTACCAAACAACCCTTAGTGAGGAACAAGCAGGATACAATTACCACACACTATGCAAACCCTGGAAGTACTTACAAATAAGTAAATACATGATTTAGCAACTGGAGGGAAATATGGAAACAATCAGGAAACTTCAAGAGAATACAAATGCACAGGATAAGAGATAAGGAAGACCTATCCCGTCATCTACGGTAGAACCTCAGAGTTACGAACACCTTGGGAATGGAGGTTGTTCGTAACTCTGAATGTTATGGTTCTTTCAGAAGTTTACAACTGAACATTGATGCAGCTTTGAAACTTTACTGTTTTTGCAGAACAAAAATGCTGCTCTCCCTTTATATTTTTAGTAGTTTACATCTAACACAGTACTGTACTTTATTTCCCCCGCCCCCTTTTTTTTTTTGGTCTCTGCTTCTGCCTGATTGTGTACTTCTGGTTTCAAATGAGGTGTGTGATTGACTGGCAAGTTCATAGCTCTGGTGTTGTTAACTGACTAGTTCTACACATCTATACTCTATACATTGTGGCACCTTTGTTATGCTACTATTTTGTCCCATTGAGTTTTCAATACATCAAGCAATGGGGTTTGCTGCAACTTCCCTTAGGAGACTCCTCCATTATCTAACAGATCTTGCCGCTTGGAAGTTTTTTCCTGATAGCTGGTGTAAGGGTATGTCTACACAGCCAACATTAAAGCAGTGCTGCGGCAGCGCTTTAACGTGGCTGTGTAGTCGCGGCTCCAGCGCTGGAAGAGAGCTCTCCTAGCGCTGTAATAAAACCACCTCCACGAAGAGAATAGCTACCACTTTATATACCACTTGTATAAACCACTTTAGCCTCAATTTTGCTCATGTATGCCTTATACTTACCACAATGTTGAGAAGTAGAAGCCCTCTTTCCTCTCTCCTGCTGAGCTGTCTGTCAATGATAATTCCTGTTTGTGGCTCCCCCTTCTTACAATCACTCCCAGGCCCTCAAATGAAGCCTTGCAGATGCCATTTCCATTGCAGATTTTTGGTTAGCAAATGGGAGTCCATGTGAACAGGTGTCATACCAGTAAGTAGTTCTTAGTCCGCTCCCTGACTCTGCACTGGAATACGTACACTTGAGATGTTATACCTTCCCTTCTCTTTCCAGGAGGTCTGTTTTTCCAGGAAGATGGTCACCTTTACATCTTCTGACAAGATTTCTTGTCACATGGAGCCTTAGCGCATTCTCCAAAGGGCTCTTGGTTATTATCTCCACTTGGATGACGGAAGAAAGACTGTTGTCCTAGTTCCCCAATAGATCATGTTTCTCTGATGCCACCTTAGCAACAGTATAGCTTGTTGTGGACCTTTCACAATTTGATTAGCTACACTGATTTCAGAGTGGGTGTGGGCCTCTAAGATAAGCGCTACTGCAAAGAAAATTAACACACTTGTTTGCAGTTGAGGGAAAACAATTAATGATTCTATTTTATGACTTTGTACAAGGGAAAAATATATGACATATCACTAGGCCTATCAGAAGTCTGCTTTCTGTGTTTTGATTGACATGCTTAATTAGATCTCAATGTAACATTCAGATAATCATTAACAATATACCGCGCTTAGCTCAAGGAGAATGAAAGGTGAGAGAGAGAGAGAGTGAGAGAGCGCGTGCATTCAAACAAACAATCATTTCAGTAACTTACTTTAGGGTCTGCACACTTGAACTTTAACCTTTCCACCATCTCCAGCATGGCCACCTTCAGGTCAACGGGTTCTCTATTCTAAAAGGAAGGGAGGACAGAGGTCACGAAACAGCACTCATTTTTACTCTACCAAGCACAACAAGGATTTTCACAGGACAATGGGAGGCAGCAATTTTTCAGCTAATTCTATCAGCCAAGTTGCAGTGAACCCATGAATACATTTGCCTGCGCTTCTGGGACTATTTTTGTTCAGGCAAAAGGCATGAGGAAAAAAAAGCTGCCGCCAAGTGAGCTGAGAAAACTATTGGAATGAAAATTAAATGCAATTGCACAGGCTGACTCTTTCATTGCTTTGTCGCATGGCTCGGCTGTACCCATGTTCACTGAATTAGGGCCCAATCCTACAAGATGCTCATTGCCCCTCAACTACTACTAAAGCCAATGGCTCAGTAACTTGCAGGAGGCACTCAGCACTTTACAGGATAAGGCTCTTACTGAGGATCTGCAAGAATGGGGTGGCCAGGGTCCATGTAACATTTATATTCTATAATGGGCACCGGCTGCCTGATAATTTAATCTTGCACTTTTTGTAGATCCATTTATAAACAGGAGCAGAGAGAGAGATTAAAAAAAGGAAAGAACTAATTAAGGACGCAATCAAGAGTTCATACTTCAGGAGAGCGAAGTGAAGTGATAGGCACTTATGGAATCCCTGGAATATTCATTTTCTTTGCTTCAACTGTTCTCTGCAAAAAGTAAAGTTACACTTATTTGAGAGGATATTTGCACAGGATGATTCTGCTTATAGTGACTGTTTCTGATGTCTTCCTTTATATTATATATATATTCATTCCTTGGGACAGCTGCATCAAAACAGGAATAATGTCATCTGCTTCTGTTGCTCATTCCTCACTGGAAACCTACCTAATTAAGGTATTTATATAGCGCCAGTCAGTTTCCAGGCATCCTATCTTCTATTCCTTGAGCAATCAATTATGACATTCAGATTAGGATTTCAAAGGAGGCGGAAGCAGCAGGAACAGACAAAAATCAAAAGCAACAAAGATCTTATTTGTATACAGGTGCTCCAAGTAATCAACCAGATAAATGGTAAACTATTAAAATATGGTATATAAGCAGGACTGTTTCCAAATAGAAGTTTTTCAATGAGGCGTCAATGGCAAGTGTCCAGAAGGACTAGTTTGACATGAGACAGAAGGCAAAGTGATTTAAACAATGCAAGCAGCATCCCAGTGATCCTTAACACACACCCAGAGACAGAAAACAAGAGCATTTTTTCCTCTCAAAATACATTAAATGTCAAAGCAGAGAAATGTGAGCATGTCCCATCTGATTTAAACTTCTGTGCTCTAGATCCTCCACAGTAGCTCCTCTGATCCTAGTTCAGAGACTAGGATCTGCTAAGGGCATTACCTGAGTCTTTCATTTCACTTGCCATGTGGCTCTTCCACAGCATTAAAACATCATTCAAATTATTTTTGATAAATAAGCTATCAGAGTATGACTTTTGAAAGTCGAACAAGGCTGGTTATTGTCACCTATTGACAAGGTATTGATGCTATTACTTGGAGCATGCTCTTTTGGAAAGGAGAGTTGAGTCTGAACACACATTCCAAAACTAGAACGATCCAAGCTACAGCTAAAAATGTTTGTTACGCATTAAAGATTCTCTCTCCACTGTGGATACAGGAGTACAGCCAGCAATTTGAAGTTTGCAAAAACCTAACCAACCTTATCCCCCCACCCACCTGACTGAAGCAGACTGATTACATCCTTGGTACTGCAGGCCTACCATTGCACAAATAAGGGTACAGAGCAACCTCAATGCTCACTGATTTCACCACCTCCAGAGCACTCAGGACCCTGCGGGACTGCACTTCTAGAGCAGGTGAAGTTAGACACAGACACCCTGCTAGGAACTCAGTAAGAAGCAGGATGAACAATGAGAACTGGCTAGTTCATTTCAAGAAACAGTGCTCCAAGGAAATTAAAATTGCACCCAGTATACACCTGCCCAATCTGTAATAGAGATGGGAGCATCATGGTTAAATTGGGTAAATATGAACCAGGAGTGTATTCAGTTAATTTATTCTGTGAACTTTGGGATACAAAAGTTTAAAGTAAGAAAACATGTGCCGGGGTGAGATTCTATGCTACCCAAGAGGAGATGGGCCAAGGCTCAGATGGCTAAAAGCCTAAGTTATGGCAACATCCAAGGGCTGTGCTCTGGGTCAGTGTTGCAACTGCCACTCAGTGAAAGTCACCATTTGGACTTTGAAAAGTCTCCAGATGGAGCAAAAATCTCTCTAAACTCCAGAGAGCCAGTATTTTATCTGAGTGTGGCCATCTGGGTGATCATTTTCCATTGGCTGCTGTCATCACATGGTACAAAGAAGCCCCAACTCCACACTACTTTCTAGATTTGATGCCTGAATCCACTGCTAGTGAAGAAGTCACCGACTTCAGCGGGAGCAGTCCCTCCATCTTTTCCTAAACAGGAGAAGTCTTGTAACCAACAAGACTTCTAAAGTACATATGACTGCAATGTTTTGCTACTTGGTAAAAGCTTTATAGATTTGTTTGCAGGGACACATCGTAATGAATTGTTTCTTGTTTCCTTGTTTCTTTTTCTTATTTTTGGGAAAAGGTGATTAACATATGAATTACGTCAGTATGCCCTTGAACAATTCAGTATGGATTTTACTCAACTTGTGGTGGAGTCAGTTGTAAATGTTATGCTTTTGAATGCTACTGTAGCATGCAATTTGAAATAAAAATCCACAAGTATAAAAGCTAAAAAGAAAAGGTTGCTTCTCTGACAGATGTGGTAAACATTAGGACAGCTAGAGACGCATTCATTGGAGTTTTAAAATAATTAAAACTGAATTTTAAATAAAGCGAATACAGGCATCAAGACAACCATTTGCCTTTCTTCCACATGGCTGCGGAGATTTATTGAAAAGGACAATTCTAAGGACCTGACTGCTCTCCTGCAAAGGTTTCCCCTTTCAAATATATTGTAACAAGATTTAAGTGTTCTGGGTGAAGTGCCGGAGGGTGGACAGAGCTCTGGGGAAGCATTGTGGGTACTGCAAGGTTGACAGACACACAAGAGATTCTGTGTAGGGGATGGTAGGGGCGCTAAATAGGCGGTGCTTCTTCTTTTTCAATGCTTAGCTGAACAATCGGCTGTACCACTTGTTCGCCATTTGGTCAGTTCCTGTGTGGCCGCAAGGCCTTGACCAGTTGAAAGTCCTATGTCGGAACAGACTTGATGCACCCATGTAATAGGGGGGTCTGTCTCTGGGCCGCCTCCACCCCTCAGTTGGTGGAATTGTATCCCGGATGTTCCAAGCCACCCAGAGAATGGCGTTTGCTGGAACGCCTTGTGGCATTCTGGCAATATGTCTGAAAAGCATAAGATGCCGGCTATGGACAAATGGCCCCAGTAGTCTGTAGACTGGAGCAACCGTAAACATCTGCGTTACAAAGTCATTCCACTTTATGCCCAATATACGATGTTGGCATTTTGTGCGGAAAGCCTCCAGCTTTGTCCAGTCTGAGCAACACAGTGTCCATGTTTCGCAACTGTACAGCGGAGGATTCAGGATCTATTCGAGTTGTATTTGATCATGCCGAGATGATGTTGATTCCACATTCATCGTAAACGACCCTTTGTAAAGGGCTGTGGGTGATCAACGTCTGAGGGGGGATTGATGTGTGCTGGGTGTCTGGGGGATGCCAGGGTTGGTGCTGAGTGTCTAGAGAAATGCAAAGGGCTGCATGGCGAGTGCCTGCAGGAAGTGGGGGGAGGCAGGTAGCTCAGTCCTGAGAGTCTCTTACCTGCTGAGCCCAGCAAGACCATTTGCAGCCGGAGGCTCCATCCTCCACACTGCTGGGTCCTGAGTGACAACAAGGCAGACTACAGCTGCTGCTTGCCGCTGCCTAGAGTTACACAAGGAGCGACTGGTGCCACCGCATTTCCCCTCGTCGTCTTCCCCCCGCCAAAATCTGACACCCCTGAAGTGCGCATGGACAAGCGCCTCCAACTCCAAGCAAGGTCTGACCGGAACTGAAGCTCACTCCCTGAGCACGGGCAAAAGCAAAAGTCACCAGAGTATCCACAAATTTATTTAAAAGTCACTGTTCAGCAGCCTGGTGCAGCAAAGCTTGACAAATCTTTCTGAGACTAAAAAGCTGCTAGATTAGCAACAAATTTGCTACATTGGCAACACTGCTCTGGACTGCACCACTGCCCGAAACTGTCTGCTTGCTGCAACCCCCACCCCTAACATGCCCTCTCATCCCTGCCCCCAATGCCAAGGCTTGTGAAGGCTAACTCTCAAGGACTCCTTATGGCTGCCTCCACAGTACCTGCCCCCGGCCTGTCCCTTCCAGATCTGATGCTTTTAGAGCTGCTTACACCATTTCAGCCTTTTTACCCAGAACAAAGGAGCTGGAATGGGGGGGGGGGGGAGAACAAGGATCCCACCCCTTGTTTTTAAAGAGATGCTAAGGACCCACAGCTCCAGTTCAAGTCACTGGAAGCTATGGGTGTTCAGCACATCGGAAATAAGTCCCTTAATGAAATGGGCATTCATTAATCCTGTTGCACTACTAGCCTTGTTCTAATCAGCAACTACTTGAGCGCCAAAAGAAATTCCAATAACAATTTCAAAAAAATGTAAGGTTCCCTCCAGGGGTCAGCCCATATACTTTTCTTTCAAACCAAAAAAATCTATTAACAGAACCACTACCCCCTCACCTCCTCAAACGCTGGCAATGCTTGGATTCAGATTCCAATTTAGCAGGTCAGGCCCATCTCTAATTTTCTGGGTTTCATCTTATTGACTTGGAACTCTCAGCCAAAGAATGACCTTGACAAACAAGAACAAGATTTCAGCCTATTATCCAGCCCCTTCACCTCTGCGAATGGGTGGGGGGTGGCGTCTTTGTTACTGACGCTTTCACTTCTTCTAAGGGAAGCACAATAACAATCTGAGACACTGAAGTGACACTACTGAAACAAGTATGGCTTGGGAGCACTCTTCAAAAAAACATATTGTGCACGTGAATGTAGTGCTTACAACAGGAGTTGTCTTGACAGCCCTGGAGACTGAAGTCCCAACTTTAGACAGAAAACAGGCAACGCAAGGAGAGCAGCCAGACAAGCTTCCCCTATGTGCTGCAACCCAGATCAAAGGGATCAGCTCTCCGAGTTGGAGAGGAGCCTGCTCTCAGTGGCCCTTCTGCTGAGACTCCAAACATCAGCGCTACGGGCACTAGCAATTTTTACGATGTAGACCGCGAAACTGGACTGAGCCAACAAATTTATTTCGCACAGGCCACCCAACAGCCATCAGACGGTAGGAACTCTCAGCTAAATAGCAGCAGCAACTAATGGGGGTTGGATACAACTCAGAGGCTTTTAATATCTTACTACCAATCCCCCATGAATCATCCAGTCCACTCTTTGTGGAACTATGGGAGCAGGTTTCAGAAATGTGCAGCTGAAAGGCAACAGTAGGGTAGAGTGAAAGTATGTCTACACTGCAGCAGGGAGCAAGCCTCTCAGCCTGGGTAGATGGATTTGAGCTGGCAAGGCTTGTGTTAGCACACTTAAAACAGCAGTGTGGGCATAGCGGCATGGGCTGGAGCTTGGGATCTCCAGCCCACTCAACTCCCTAAGCTCCCAGCTGCAGTGTAGATGTAGACTTTAGCTAGTCATTTTAGCTGTTAATGGAACAAATAAATCTGCAGTGAAGTGAACAAAGAGGAAGCAGCACGTCTGTGTATTTTTCCCCTTTCTATTTTGATACTTAGAAAATTAACACCATGTCTTTAAAAACTCCCACACTTCCTAAGAGACAGAGCAGCACTTTTCCTGGGATTGCAGAAAAACAACCATCAAGGCTGGAAGGGAGGCCTAAAATTAAACCTACCAGCTGTGTCTTGGTTTGCCAGAGCACGCTGCACCAGCAGGCTACTGAAATATACAAGAATTTCCCACTTCAGAGAGTAAGAGGTTTATACATGTCAATAACCTCCAAGGAAACCCAGGAATATTACATTTACTGAGAGCTACTTGCCTATGTCAGATTTCATTCCATAGTTCCCATGTTTTGTTTCACCATTGGAGATGCTCTTTACAACTGATTGGTGGCTGGTTACCTTTCTCCATGTCCTCACAGGTCAATGCCCCAGCACAGTTGCTGCCATCTCACCGTCTCTCTTCCCCTGATCTCTAACCCATGTATTTTTCTCCCCCCCCTTTCTTGATTCTTGCCCCGTGTCATCTCCCTTTATGACTGCCCATCACACTCACCCATAAACAGAAGGATTGGAAGAGATGGAGAAAGAAGCAGTCTATTGATAACTCCCTGGGGCCAATCTACACATGCTCTTGTAGCTGCCCCAAGTACCACAGAAGCAGAGAAAAGAAGCTTGGTCTGGCTGGTTGCTTCTTGAGCCTGTAGTGACAGACCCTGAGATTTGTTTGCTAACTCGCTTAGTTTCAGTATAGAAAATGCCCTCATCAGGGGAAGGGCAGGTCAAATGTGAGAACAGTATGTGGAAAAACTTCCCAGAAATGATTGCTTTGCCAAGGATATTAAAGACACCACAAACCATCCCTCTGGGGCAGACATGGAAATGCTGAAAGACAAAACCTTCCTAGGATCTCTAAGAAGGAACACACTGCATACAGCCTGTGTGCCAACAGAAGGCAAGTTTTACTGATAAAACTTTGCAGCATGGATCATCAGGCCTTAGAGTGCATTAACAACCATGCTTTCAATAGGCAGCCTACTGATGGGTCCAAAGGAAACCTTCTCAACTGGACACAGCAAAAGTTGGGTCTGGTTTATATTTGGGTTGTAAGCAGCAATACACAATAGAGAATTTGGTTATGTTTGTTTCCTGGGTGCACTGTAAAGACAAAAAGACAGACGGCCTTACTCTCTTGAGGCTCTGATGGGATTCAAAAGCAACTTCACTGGCATCAGTGGAGTTACTCCAGTGTCAACTCATGCAAGAGAAAAATCAAGCCCACAATACCCAAGAGTTTATAGATCATCATCAGGGGAATTAACCTCTGCACTAGCACAAAGGCAGAGGGGAGGTTGCTTGTGCCTCCCTTGTTCAGGAGTATCGGGGGCCAGTTCAGCTTCCGCAGCAGAATACTGCAGTCCTGAGCATTAGCCTATTTTACATCCCCCAATGCCCTAGTGCCAAAGGAGCTTGTGGCAATGGGGAACTGCTGGAGTGCAGGATCATCTCAGGCAACCAACACCCAATTTAGGAGTGTGGCCTGTCTCTTGCACTGGTGGGGGGCAGACATGAGATTACACCATCCTAAAGAGGTACCTTGGGCCTGCTCTAAAGCCCCTTCTTTCTCCATCTCTTGCCACCCTTCTGTTTATGGTTTAGTGTGATGAGGAGCCATAAGAAGGGAGGACACATGGGGCACCAGTGAGTCTGGCCTAACACATCCTGGCAGGCCATACTGGACCCTGAAACTGACACACCGCATAACAGCCCTGCAAAGAGAGCGACTGCCCCTCTTTGTGCCTCAGTTTCCCCAGAGTGTGCAATGGGGCTCCACTCACAACACCGGTGCAATGCTGCCACTTCACTGGAGCTCTTCCTCCGGCACCCCGCGAGCAGAGGAGAGGGTCCCAGGGTGGTGAGAAACCGGGGGAAGGCAGGAGGAGCCTGTTGTAGAGGCTCGAGGGAGGGATGCAGGGAGGGGCGCTTACCCTCATGGTCTGGTAGGCTTCATCCAGGGTGATGAGCTGGTGCTGCCGGTGGGTGCCGGTGACGGCGCACAGCACGCAGATGATCTTCTCATGCTCTTTGCAGTACAGGCTCAGCTCCTGCCCGTGCTCCTCGCACTTCTTCCGCTCCAGCTTGGGCGCCTCTTCCCCCGCCTCGTCGCGGCCCGAGGCAGGGCCCCGCAGGCGGTGGGCCGCGTACTTCTGGCCATGCTCCTCGGCGTGGGGCTGGCAGAAGGAGAAGCCGCACTCCTCGCACACCCCCACCGCGCTCTCGGCTTCATCGGGCTCGCAGACATCGCACGTGCCGTCGGGGGGAAGCTCCTCGGCGCGCTCCCCCTTCGCAGAGGCCATGGCGAGCCTCTTCCAGGGGCGGCCTGGCCTGGCTGGTGCCGCAGCCCCCTGCCCCTCCTGGTCGCTTCCCTGCGGCAGCTCTCAGCTGGGTAGCAGCTTCCCCCCTTCCAGCACAAGCCTCCAGCTGTTCTCTGCCCTGCGACACTTGAACGGCCCAGTTGCTCTGCTTCCTCGTCTCCAGCTACAATCCCTCTCCTTCTATTCCTGGCTGAGCTCCCGGCCTGATCCCCTCCGCCTCCCACCTTCTGAGCAACTGGGATTTAACACGCCAAAATAAGCTCACCTCCCCCCCTTAGTTTTGATGAGCAGGGTGCTGGGATCCCAGTTGCTGCTCTAAACAAAGCAGCAGGGCCCAATACACATTAGCAGCTACTTTCACTTTTAAAGTTCAGGCCATCCTGGTTTTTACTTCCTGAGTCATTTAAAGTGGCAATGGCCTTTTTTCTCTCCCCTCCCTTTAAAACTGCAGGAAGCATCAGATTTATCAGAACACGTTGATTTGAAGGGGAAATCCCTCACCTGCTGGGATTAATGTTAAAGTAGGTTTTTTTTTTTAAGTATCTCCCTCTTGGTATGATGAAAAATGCGTGTGTGTGTTTCAGTGAGACAAGGTGGGTGAGGTAATATATTTTATTGGACCAGTTTCTGTTGGTTAGAGAGAGACAAAGCTTTCAAGTTTACACAGAGCTCTGCTTCAGGTGTGGGACCAACATGGTGGCAACAACACTGTTTCAGTGACTAATTTAAAAATCTCACTCCATTGTATGTTTCCTAGGGCAAGGTGTTCAGAGGCTAAATTCAGCATCAGTTAGGGTTGCCAACTTTCTAATCACACAAAACTGAACACCCTAGCCCTGCCCCTTCCCTGAGGCCCTGCCCCCCACTGACGACATTCCCCATCCCTCCCTCACTTTGGGCTGGTCTACACTGGGGGATGTAAGATACGCAACTTCAGCTATGGGAATAGCGTAGCTGAAGTCAACGTATCTTATTTTGACTTACCTCCCGTCCTCACGGCGCAGGATCGACAGCCGTGGCTCCCCTGTCGACTCCGCTACCAACGCTCACCCTGGTGGAGTTCCGGAGTCGACGGGAGCGTGTTTGGGGATCGATATATCACATCTCATCTAGATGTGATATATCGATCCCCGATAGATCTATTGCTACCCGCCAATCTGGCGGGTAGTCTGGACATACCCTTTCACTAGGTTGGGTTGTGGGAGGGGGTGCAGGCTCTGGTGTAGGGCTGGGGATGAGGGGTTTGGGGTGCAGGAGGGGGCTCCAGGGTGGGGCAGAGGGATTCAGGGTGTGGGAGGGGGCTCAGGGTGTAGGAGGGGTGAGGGCTCCATCTGTGGGTGTGGGTTCTGGGGTGGGGCTACAGATGAAGAGTTCAGGGTGTGGGAGGGGGCTGCAGCTTGAGGCAGGGGGTTGGAGTGCAGGGAGGGTGAGGACTCCACCTGGGGGTGTCGCTCTGGGGTGGGGCTGGGGATGAGGGTGCAGGAAGGGGCTGTGGGTTGAGGCAGAGGATTGGGGTACAGGAGGGGGTGAGGGCTCCATCTGGGGGTGTCGCTCTGGGGTGGGGCTGGGGATGAGGGGTGTAGGAAGGGGCTATGGGTTGAGGCAGGGGGTTGGGGTGCAGGAGGGAGTGAGGGCTCCATCTGGGGGTGTACACTCTGGGGTGGGGCTGGGGATGAGGGGTTCAGGGTATGGGAGGAGGCTCTGGGCAGGGGCAGGAGGTTGTGGTGCAGGAGGGGGTGAAGGCTCCATCTGGGGGTGCAGGCTCTGGCATGGGGCCAGGGATGAGAGGTTTGGGGTCCAAAAGGGGGCTCTGGGTTGGGGGGGGCTCAGCGATGGGGTAGGGGGTTGGGGCGCAGGCTTACCTCCAGCAGCTCCCAGTCAGAGATGCAGCAGGGTGGCTAAGGCAGACTGCCTGTCTGTCTTGATTCAGCACTGGGCCCTGGAAGCAGCCAGCAGGTCTGGCACCTAGGCAGAGGCACGGCAGGTGGCTCTGTGCATTGCTCTCACCCGCAGGCACTGCCCCCACAGCTCCCATTGGCTGTGGTTCCTGGCCAATGGGAGTGTGGAGATAGTGCTCAGGGCGGGGGCAGTGTGCGGAGCCCAGTGGGTCCCTCCCCGCCTAGGAGCCGGATCTGCTGGCTGCTTCCGGGGCGAAGCGCGGAGCCAGGACAGGTAGGGACTAGCCCGCCTTAGCCCCACAGCACCGTTGACCGGACATTTAATGGCCTGGTCAGCGGTGCTGACTGGAGCCGCCAGGGTCCCTTTTCGCCTGAGTGTTCCGGTCGAAAACCAGATACCTGGTCACCCTAGCATCAGTGAGGAGTAACTGCTGTGAAGCCAGTGGAGTTTTGCTTGCTTAAGCAAGAAAAGAATCAGGCCCCTTGTCTGTAGTGGCTACACGAGGATTAGAAAGCTAATAGCAATGCCAATAGGAGCATATGATTTACACCAGTGGTTCTCAAACTTTTGTACTGGTGACCCCTTTCACATAGAAGGCCTCTGAGTGCGACCCCTTCTTATCAATTAAATATACTTTTTATACATTTAACACCATTATAAATGCTGGAGGCAAAACGGGGTTTGGGGTTAGGGTGACCAGATGAGGGAAACAAAATATTGGGACACACTGGGGGGACTTTGCACAAAAAAAAAAGCCGAGTCAGTCCCACCGGCGGAGAAAAAAAATCCGCTGCCGGCGGATATCGGGACAAATTGCGGCATGACCGATCTCGGGACAAACCCCGAAATATCAGGACGGTCCCGATATTATTGGGATGTCTGGTCACCCTATTTGGGGTGGAGGCTGGCAGTTCTTGACCCCCCATGTACAAACCTTGTGACCCCCAGCTTGAGAACCCCTAATTTGCACCATTTTAGGAAGCCACTATTCTCACAGCAGGCCTGAGACCTTCCAACTCCCTTCTAGCTGCATGGTGCTACCAAACGTACTCTGTTCTGCTGTGCTGCCAGCAGTGAGATCCAGTAACAGAATTTGGAGCAGGACCTCCATCTAGACAGGCCATTCGTCCGGCTTTAAGCCACAAAACCCTCTTTTTCTATGGTTGTGTCCCATTTCCAGTATGGAGACAAAACTGGATGCAGTTTTGTCTGATATCATGGATGGAGGATGCCATTTTGAAGAACTTGATGCTTCGCCTCTGCTGGTGTGACCTCACACACATGCTGCATGCGAGGTCACTCCAGTGAGAGCAGGGCAGTGCGCTCTTCAAAATAGTGTCTTCTTTGCAGCGTGGCTTTGTTCAGCTCCCTCCCTCCTCCAAATCCTGAGTTTGGCTTAAAAAAAAACAGTTTTTTTAAAAAAGGTTTATTTTTATTTTCCTCTGGTTTCTGAGCCTGCAGGTTGCACTGGGGGTCACATTTCCAAGTGTTTCTCGACAACCCTGAGGGCTTAAAAAACCCTACTTTTTTTTCTCTAATCACATGGATCTAGAAGCTAGGCTTTAAGAAAAGCTCCAGATATTGTGAGACTTGCAATAAAATTGTGAAGATTGGTAACTTGCAATAAATTGTGAGGGATGGCAACACTAAGATTGTCCCAGTGTCCTCAACAGTTTTTACAAATCCAGTTTTTTTTCTGCTTCAAATGATTGGAATACGTAGCTGAACTTTGCAGCTAGTGCACCTTGGGCTAGAATCTGATCTCAGTTACACTGGAGGAAACACTGAGTTACCTCCAATTTACCCCGGTGTTACTGAGATCAGAATACAGCTTCCTGTGTTCAGCACGCAGTGAACTAAGGTATTAATCAGAATCCATTAACACCTATCTGGGGCTGTCAGGAGGGAAAGTGTTTTCTATTAAGTGCAAACTAGGACCCCTTACATTTGCACCTTCCCTTGGAACAATATTTTAGCAAACATTACAGAATCTGTGTCAGCCCAGTCTCATGTGGCAGTTACTTGCCTTTGCTAAATGGATGCTAGTTTTTCCCCCGTGCGTAAAACCTTTTCATGTGATCAGTGAGCTATTTCTTTATTTCCACATCACTGTAACTTTGGGTATGCTGATCAGTACTGAAAACCTTTGCTTTTGCTGGAGAAGTAATGAAAGGAGTAAATTCAAGAAGGAGCAGGGGAGCATTTAGCTAGTTAGTTTTATACACAGTCTAATGCAGATAATCCTGCACACAATGTGTACAATATTCATATGCAGTTAGACTCTATGACCGATTTCATTTTACGAGGCGTGCCCATGAGATCACCTATTCTGATCTCCTGCTGTTACTATATTAGCCAACATCTTATCTTATTAGAGCTCATTGCAGCGAAATGTGATGTTCCCTTGCTGAATAAATCCATTTCAGAAATATTGTGAATGAAAGAATCCCAGCTGTTGCTAATGTTCCATGCTCATGAAAGAATGTAAACTGCTAGTCTCATTAGAAGATTTAACCTCTACATTGCCTATATTACCTGACCATAATCCACAAATGCTGTTTGATGAATTGTGTTAATTTTATTCACTTACCCTTATTACATGCGCACACATGCACACAAAATTAATATGATGAACAAAACCACTTTGAACCACAGAGACTTATTATTATGGATCAAACTATTTCTTAATAGTCCTTTTTGTAAATTATTGCTGCATTTTGCCTTGTAAACAGAAACTTCTAACATGAAATATAATCATACATATTTATAAGCCTTTTATTATTTATCCAGGATGATTTGCTACTCAAAAACGATCATCTATTTATCTTTAATCATGTAGTCATGTTAGTCATGTCCTCTAATTTTTGTCCCTTATAGTAGGTTTTTTGGAGAGTGAAGATGATGTATTCTATGGTGGCATAATTGACCAAGAAATGCTCTAAAGAGAAGCCCGGATAAAGTGTTTACTAGTAGTTTCCTGTAGTGCTCTTTTTCATTACATTGAAATAAAGCTAATGTAACATTGTTAGTTGTATCAAATTTTTCCTTGGAGACATTTGGTTTTATTAATGCTGTACTGAAGCATTGTACTCAATAAGATCCAGTCTGCCCTTTTTTAGGGCTAAAGGACTAGATTCACAAAGGGATTTATACACCTAAATGCTACTTTAGACACCTAAGTCCAAAATTTAGATCTTCAAACCCCCTGCTCAGTTGCCATCTAATTCTGTAGGTATCTAAGTTTCTGCTGGTACAGTCCCTTAGGCGAGTAAAGATCTACCACAGGGCATGTGCACAGCTGCCTCAGTCCCATTATCCAAATGCCTAAGCCTCAGCAGGATCCTCAAACTAGGCCTTCCCTCACCTATCTCATCTCCAGGACCCAATCTGGTAGGCATTCTCAGAGGTCAGCTAACAGAACACAAGTGGTAGTGGCCCCCTATTAACCCTGGGAAACCCAAGTTCAACAGGGACATGAATTTGGGTCTGAGTCCTACATGCCAGGTGAGTGCC